GTGAGCGCGGGTCTGCTATCACTAACCGCTACTTTACGCACAATTCACCGCCCTGCACCGACTATGCCCGGGGGTATTGTCGTTTGCGAAGAATTAACTGACATCTTCAGTTACTTGTATCGGTCGCGTTTATAGTGAATTGTGAAGGAGAAAAACAGATCCGACATAACTGGACTCCTTTGCCTTTGTCGGTTTGCGTCTGCTATTGTCTGTTCAGTTGCTTATCTAACCGACCGGTGGAAGTTGCTCAAAAGAAGCGACGAAGGTACTTTTGCCTGAACTGTCGGCCAGTTCGATGTGTACCCATTTCGGAGATACAGTTACTACGGGTCCAAGCCTCCGGAGTGCTTTAATCGATTTCCTGCTGCTAATGAATCCATTTCGTTTAACTTTTGCGATTAGCTATGACCATTTATTTGACCTTTATTAGGGGACAATCTCCTTCTCCCTCCGTTTTAAGAACAGACACGAAACAAGCTTTGTGTGCCTTTACTTTGTAAAAATTCTTCCAATGAATTTTCGCATAATTGTGTTCAGTTTACCGTGTTTTCACCTGAGGGATGTAGTTATAAATACCTAAAACAACGCTAACAGTCTAATATAAGGCTCACTTCGGAAATAAATCCCCAGAATTCTGTAATGCGTGACCGGTTGCAGTGATATTTTGCCTATACTCTTAATTTAGTTTTGATTTGGGGTATACTTTCTTCACCGAAAAAAATGTATTCGAACATCGCTTACGCTTGATTTTGGATGTTAGTCTATTGAACTTAAGACAGATTGATCACACGGAGAAAAACAGTAAATTAAGGGTTCTAAACATTTATGCTTATTATTAAATCTCCAAAAACTGTTCCTTGATCTTACCCTCAGTTTCGTGCGTAAAAACGGGAACAACGCGTAGGTCTGTGGTCCAAACGTACTTGTAAAACTTCCAAAGTAACAGGAAGTTCTCCGTGAGACAGTCGAGTAGTTCTATGCCTTCTTTCAGGGTAAATATGTCCACGCTTTTTGGCGGTCGCTAGAAAGTGTGTGTTAATTAAGTTTCAAGTTGGTACGTGTGACATGTGGATACCAATCATTCTGTGTACACGAAATATGGCCTCCTGGAGGTCGCCAAAGCAGTTTCCTTAAATCTGTTGGCGACTGACTAAGAGCCTACTTGTACAAAGTTGATAGAGAACAGCCAGAATTGATAGAGCACAGGAAAGCTGCTCTGGTGAGTACTGCTTGTTCTGGGAGTAAAATACCATAAATGCGGTGAGTTCATCAAAGTAGGGATCATTTTGTGGCAGAGTCGTGCGACTAATAATGGCATTCAGTTCTGACTGATAAGCCACCTGAAGCAGTTCTGAGGCATTCTGCATGTCCACTTTCGTCCACAGCAGGATCTGCCCGTCATCTTTTACTGGATTTGACGACTCTTTGACATCTTTATCCAGTGGT